TAGGAACCATGCTAATTACCAAGATGCGTTGAACTAATATAAACTAGAATCGCAGTGCTCTTTAGATGGCTTGAGAGCTTGGTAGAACATAACGCAAACGTAAATCCCCCGCGTGACAAGACAAGCAACTTTTCCGGCAGTTCCAAGCATTCTTCTAGCCTGAGGAGATACCCTCCTCTCAGCTAATACCTCCTTCTGGCTAACACTTTATGCTTTCAGCTAACGCCGCATCCTTCCAGGAAACACTTCCTCCTTTCTGCCCATACTTCCTCTTTCTAGCTAACGCGCCATGTTTCCAGCAAACACTTTCCCTTTCCAGTCTACGCTTCTTCCTGATAATTTCCACTTCCTCCTTCCAGCTAATACTTCTTCTTTCCAGTTAACACCTCCCCATTTCAGCTAACGCTTTCTCCTTAAAGCCAACACTTCCTCTTTCCAGAGAATACTAACTCTTTCTTTCTCTTATTTATTTCTGTCCATAACCTTCTGCTTCCAGCGACGAGGCCCTGAGCCGCCCTATGGCAGCGCTGATACCGGGGCAGCGAAGCGTCATAACGCCATCAAACATCAAGGGCTGCCCAGTGAGCTGCGGCGCATCCCCATCCTGCCCCTTTGCGCTTAGTTTGCTTTTTTCTAACTGATCTTTTTCTGAAGCGTCCTCACTCCGATCCGTCTCCTCCACCTCATCTTTCCCTCTGCTGAGTGGAGAGAGCGCGGTGGCGACGGACCATACGCCCGGCGGCCAGCTGGCTGCGGTCGCGACCGGGGTGTTCGGTCTGGCCGGGGGTGTTAGGTCTGGCTGGCGGTGTTCGTTCGGTCGGTCGATGTCCTTGGGGAGTGTTCGGTTGGCCGGGGTTTGCTTGGCTGTTGTCTGGGGGTGTTCGGTCTGGCCGGGGGTTAGGTTCGGCTTGTCTGCGGGGGTTTTTGGCGCGGGTGTCGTCTGGCCGGGGGTGTTCCGTCTGGGCCGGGGGGTGTTCGGTTGGCCGGGGTCTTCGGGTCTGGCCGGGGGTGTTCCGTCTGGCCGGGGTGTTTAGTTTGGCCGGGGTGTTCCGTCTGGCTGGGAGTGTTCGGCCTGGCCAGGGGTGTTCGTCTGGCGGGAGGTGCTCGGTCCGGCTGGGAGTGTTCCGTCTGGCCGGAGGTATTCGTCTGGCCGAGGATCTTCGGTTGGCCGGGGGTCTTCCGTCTGGCCCGCGGGTGTTCCGTCTGGCCGGAGGTGTTCGGTCTGGCCCGGGGTGTTCGGTCTGGCCGGGGGTGTTCCGTCTGGCTGGGAGTGTTCGGTCTGCCGGGGACACGCCGTCAGACCTCAGGCCCCAGGCCAATGCGAGCCGAAGATCGGGTGGCGACCAGCGTGGGACGCGACCCTTGGCTGTAAGGTCAGCGACTGTTCAGGTCAGCGGTCAGTGAAAGTTCAGGCCGGAGACCGCTGATGGCACGAGTCGGTGACCTATGACTAACAGGGTCATTAGACACTGATCATTGATGGTCCAGGTTTTGTTAGGGATACATGGTAGGCCAATTCAGTGGCCAGCGATACTCCGGGACGTCGACTTTCGATGCTTCCCGGTACGGCGACCTGTGACGGTCCGGCACGGTGGCCCGTGACAGCCTGGCACAGTGGTATGTGACAGTCTGGTAAAGTGGTCTGTGACAGC